CAAATAGATTGAAGAGTTGTACAATGTGGATCAACCAAGAAGAGGTCGCTTTCTGAAAAATACAATTAATAATGAGAAAAACCAAGAATGAAAAAGAAAACAAATGGTTTCTCCTCTCTCTATGACCAATAATAAAACAATAGCTCTGCAAAATGCTATTGTAGTAATTCTCTCTGGCCCTAAAAATTTGAGTGAACCTCTAAGAAAAAAGAGCCTTCGATTATAGATAAAGTTAAATCATATAATGTAGTAAATGATATCTTGACAATGAAGACAAATGCTATAGTTGGGCAACTTCTACAATACCCAAATCAACATAAAAGCTTAGCAAAGATTATGAGAAGCTCTCTAATTCTAAAAAAGTAAACCCTGTAAACACCCAACTAAATCAATATACTATAGCTATGAAATATTATATACAAATTGGTAATGATCCCATGTTGCTGTGTTAAATATAGTGTAGCTATTAGTATTATTACAAAAGGTTGGCCAATTGATTGGGACTTGTAATTGATAAAGAATCAATATTAGTAGTTGTAACTGCAACAGAAGCAAAAGAATGAACCTTAAGAAAAATATCAAAAGTAAAATCAATATTGCAAACATAAAAATATCTACAGCACTACAAGTTTTAGAATCAGTTAATAAAATATTGTTATTAGGAACTGATTGGTTTCAAAAAGCTAGAGCTGTTGCATCTAAAGTAGTGATTTATCTAAAGTAGCTACTTTAAATATATAAAGTAGCACCTGACTAAAATTAGGCCCCTGAAATTAGATCTTCATGCATGCACTAAATCGTAATTCTAGCCCAGGGCTACTTTAGATAGGGTGGCTACTTTAGATGCAACAAAGCTATATTGGACTTTGATGAATAAAAATTAGCTATTAGATAGTTAGAAAAAAGGTTTGAAGTATCTATAATATATATAAATAAGGGCAAGCAAAAAGAGCAAATACCAATAAATAATAAATAAGTAACCATGATAAAGATGATGCCAATGATTTGTTTGATGAAACCAAATATGAAAATAAAGAATTGGAAGAAATTGAAAGTTTTTTGTCTGATTGTGTCCCATCTGATGAAGAAAGTGCTGAAGAAACAAACAAAAGTAGAAAATAAATAAAACTAAAAATCTGACTCATGTTTAGTAGCAATAGAAGAAATTTCAACTAGAAAAAAGGTTTCTGTTGATGAAAAGCCAATTATAGAAGAACAATTAAATAAAATTGTTAAAGATAGAAATATTAGAGAAAACCTTAAAAAAAGTGTAAAAGAGCTGTTTAAAAATAACAAAATCTTGTTTACAAATAAATTAGAAAAACTTGGACGAACAAACCTTATAAAGCACGTGATCAAGACTCAAGAAGCCAAATCTATCAAGCAACTACTATATGATTGGCCTTGAATAAACAAGAGTTTGTGTGGGAAGAATTGGAAAAACTAAAAAAAAAGGAATTAATAAAAGAATTATAGGCTTTACCTATAGTGTTGGTGCTAAAAAAAAATAGAAAACTAAGAATATACATTAATTATAGGCATTTAAACAAGGTAACAAAAAAAGATGCATACCCAATCTCCCACATGATGACCTTCTCAAAACTTTCAGTAGTGCTCAATAGTTTAGTAGCCTGAACCTTGCTAGTAGCTACTAACAGGTTCATATAGATAAAAAAGACTGTGAAAAAACTGCATTTATTACAAAGTACAGAATATACAAGTTTACAGTTATACTATTCAGTCTCTGTAATACACCAGCAACATTTCAGAAATTAATAAATAAAATCCTAGGTCCATTTGTTAGTAAATTCATTGCAGTTTATTTCGATAATATTAATATTTACTCTCATACTTTTCTAGAGTATATTAATTATTTAAATCAAGTGTTTCAACAAATAAGCAATGCAGATCTTAAACTAAACTTAGAAAAATATCAATTTTTTTTTGCAAAACCTACATTTTCTAGAATACATAGTTGGCAAAGATGGAATACAACCTAATCAAGAAAAAGTAAAAAAAGTGCAAAATTTCTAGGTGCCCTGCAACATATAACAACTATGAGGTCTTTTGGATTTATTTTTGTACTATTGCAAATTTATTAAAAATTTTGCAATAATTGCAAAACCACAGCATCAATTATTACAGAAAAATAAACAATACAACTGGACTAATAATCAATAACAATTCTTCAACACTCTTAAACAATATTTGATTTCTGCCTCAATTTTACATTACTCAGATTTTGAATAATATTTTTTTCTATATACTAATGCCTCTAGAGTAGGCTTAGGTGCTGTATTGGCTCAAGTCAGAGACTATCATAAAGAATATATTGTCACTTATATATTGAAAAGTCTTGCAAGGCCAAAACACAATTGCTCTATGATAGAACAAGAGTGTCTTGCTATTATTTGGACAATCGAACATTTCTATTACTATCTTGGCTATAGACTATTTATTGTTATAACCAACTATTCAGCATTGAAGTGGTTCAGCGAAAAAGAAATGGACAAATATATTACCCATTTTAACACCAAAATTGATAAAAAAAATAGAATCATTGAAAAAACTATAATGCCAATCTACCAAGAGAATTTTGTTCTTGTACAATATAGAAAAACTAACTAATGATGATTAGACTTAATACACAGAGCAGACTTTAGTTTTTTTGCATAGCAATAAAAGCCAGCATATAGTGAGCAACTTTCTAGATTGAACCCAAAAGGTTTTAGCTTCTAATTTATCAAATCTTACTAATACTCTCTTACAAATCACTTTTTTTACAATATTAAAAAATGTTACTATCTTATCCATGTTTATAAACACCACCTTATCCAAATCAAAACCTTTCAAAAATCTTACTTCTAAGGATTAAGATAATAGCAATATATCTCCAACTACAAACACTATACTAGACAAACTTACTGACCCTTCCTCTCTAGTCTACTAGATCTCCATGATCCTAATATATATTACAACAAATTTTTATTCTATTACAAACTCTAACTTCTATTTTCACTTCAAACAATTATCTTCTTTATATAATTTATTAAATTAAACTATTTAACTTTCTTTTTCAAATAATACATTAAATTTTTGTTTAAACAAAAACCAAACAAAACTCTGAAGAAGCATATATATATTTACTATATAAAACATCTTTTCTATCTAATTACTTCTCACTTTCTTTTATATTTTTTTTTAACTTTTAAAACACTCTTATTAAATCTAACTATCCAATATCTTTTTTTTTTTATTAATATAATATTATAGTAAAAACTTTATTACAATAAACCTAATCTAAAGATTAATAGTCTTCTTGATATTAAAAAGACTTGGATAAGAGGGCAGATAAGTTATATGACCAGGCTGCCAAATTTCTTCAACTCAGAACTAGTTAATAATAAGAATATACAGTCTTAGAAAAAATTTCCATAATAAAGATTTCAAACTACATTTATGCTATTAAAGTACCCAATATGACATTACACCTCCTATTTCCTATTTAGTACTATTATTAAATTAAACGAATAAGATAATTCTAATTGAATAGGTTGGAGAAAACCTTAAGATATTAATTATGACATTATAAGAAACATGTTGTTAGAGAGAAGTCTTGTAAATACCATTTTCTAATAACATTATATGAATTTATCGATTGTAAGTGAGATCTATGTAAATTTGTTTGGTTAGTAAGTGAAGTTGTAAAAAATTTAGTGTGCTTGGTTTTGGGTGTAATATTTCAAGCTATTTCCTATTGATGTTGAAAAGTGTTGTGTTTAAACTATATTTCATGGTAAAACCAATATAGAAGATTATTGGAAAGGTTAAAAAGTGTAGGCTTTGTTTGTTTTTTAATTAAAGTTTTAATATTTTGATATGTTGTTTTAGAATATATTCCTAGGATAGTAGGAATAAAAGAAGTATATTGTATATTTGAGTTATTGTTTGTTAGTAATAAAAGAGTATTAAGAAGTGTAGTAGGTTAAATAGATATAATTTGGAGTTGTTGGAGTATATTAGTGATTATATTTATAAGTAATTGTTGAATATTTTCTGTGTTTATGGAGCACAAGAGAATATGAAGAAGGTCTTCAGTTAGAGGACATTTGCAACACTTATTTGTTGTATATAGATTTGGATAGCAAATATTGAGATTTTGCATTGTTGGGAGATTATTTGTTAAGATTTTAATATAGAAGGAGTATTTATGAGAATTATATTCCAGCAAGTTGAGTATCTTAAAAGTCAGATTCTAGATTATATCTGATGTGTAGTTGTTGAAAAGTTTAAGAGATGACCAGGATATAAGTTCTTGAATTGTGATAATATTTTTGATAAGAGAGCGTGCTTTAAATATGATGATATAATTGTTTCAAGAGAAATACATAGGAAGATTAAAGTATGTATAAAGAGATTGTTAGGAGGGGTTTAATAGAGCCTTGTTTGATTAGCAAATTAGCTTGATTATGAAGAGAATTAGTTGAGTGTGATTTGACTTTTATAGTATTGATAAGGATATTCTTTATAGATTAAATAGAGTGGATAATAGAAATTATATTCCAGTTTTTGGTTTGGATAAGTTTTGAGAAGGGAAAGTTGAGTAAATTTTTAATTACTGACAGGCTATCTGTAAGAATAAAAATAGTAAAGTTATCTGGAATAACAAGTAGAAAAGAGATGATTGCTATTAATTCAGCATAAGATGAGTCAGAAAAGGGAGCAATTGCTGCATTAAATTTAATAGGTAAATTATTTTCACAAATCCAGCCTATACTGATTTGTATATTGGCCATTTAAAGGTTTTGGATAGAAGTATTTGCAGCGAACTGAAGATTAGTTAGATTTAAATCTAGTATATTATTGTGTATTTGAATAAGTTGATTTTAATAATAAAGTAATTTGATAATATGGTAAATTAAGTGTATTTCATGAGAGCAAATATTAATTTGTGGTTGCTAAGAAAGAGATATTGAAGATGGATTAAGATTATTAGCAATATCAATAATATCAAGAATTTCTTTGTAATCAATTTGTACTAGAAAGTTATTAAACTTGATTTGTTTATATGGAAGGTTTATAGGTTTTGAATTTGGTAGTGTGTTGACAGATTTTATTAAACTTGTTTGACCTTCAAGTGGATCTGCTAATTGATCAATTTCATAGATTAGAGTTTGTTGATATTTGTCATAATATAAGAAAAATATTTTGTGGTTGTTAGAAAATAATTGAAATGATAAGTTTATATTTGAGGAGGAAATTAGATCAGTTGTATTAAGAAAGCTATTTGTAAAGGGTAATTGGAGTTGTGGCTATGTGAGTTGAAGTGAATTTATTTGTTCATTTGTAGAAGACAAGTGAACCATGAAGGTTGGTGGCCTTTATTGCTTTGTTTGTGTGTAGGTAAATATTATTCTAGGGAAGAAAGAATTTATTATTTGCTGTGTGATTTGTTCTATAAATAGAATTTTGTTATTTTTAAGACTGTTAATTATAAAATTATTAGAAGTTAGGGGAAGTATATTATAAATTAAGTAAGTATATTTAGAAATGAAAGTAGGGTAGTTTGTAATTTGAGAAGGTAGAGATATTGTTATATTATTTCTTGCTAGTTGGGAAAGATAAAAAAGAAGAGTATAGTTTTGTGTTTTTCTAAAGTGTGTGAGAAGTGTTTTTTTAGTGAGTTTTGGAAACCAAATTTTTAAAAGCCAGGATTTGATTTAGAGGATACCAATATTATAAAGAAGTGAAAAAGTGTTAAAAGTATATTCAACATTAGATATGCTAACTTTTTATATTATGTTAGTAAAAGTGGACAGATTGAAGATAAGTGGGTTAGTAAGTGATATATTATTAGTATTTTTAGCCAAAGAGAGCATATTTTTGTTTGTATAGAGAGTAGCCAAGAGAGTTTAGTCTGTATATTTTTTTGAATAGAGATAATTTAGAGAAGGTATTCTAAAGAGAGTTGGAGTATAAGATTAAAAAGGAAGGATATTTGAGAGAGTAGTAGTTTTTTATATCTGATAAGAAAAAAAAAGTTTTTTACTTTGTTGTATAGTGTATCAAGAGTTGGTGTAGTTGACCCTTTACCATCATAAAAGATTCCTAGGTATCTAATTGTATTCTTAGGTTTTCTGGAAGTAATTATTTGATTTTTGTAAGAAAGTGTAAAATTTAATATTTTGGAGTTTTTAGAATAGATATAAAGTAAGTCAGATTTGGTTAAGTTGACTTCAATATTATTAATTTCATACAAGGCAGAAGCATCATTAAGAATATTTTGTAGAGTTTCTGGATATTCACAGTGCCATACTATATCATCCATATATGCTAGTGGTGATATTGTAATAGTAATTGGAGGTGTGTTTGAGATTGTTTCAAGTGGGGAATATGATAAGATTTTAA